CGCGGATTTAAATTATCACCGGGATGAAAGAGAAAAGTTGAAGTAATAGAAATATGTCTCCTAGCGTGTGGCTGTTATCCCGGAAACCGCTTACAACAATAAATAGCTAGCTCATTAACGAATGATATTCTATAGTTGATTTGCCTTTGGGAAATATCCCTAGGGAGAACTTCACACACCAACTGATTTACTTGAGGGTATCGATGGATAATGTGAGTCGGACCATCTGTAGTTGATTTGGAGGAGCTATTCGGAGACTTTATCCGAAATAAGCCGTACCGAGATAATATAGCTGCTTACTTTTCACATGTCATTAAGGCAGAGTCTTCTTATTCGGTGGAATAAACGTCTAGAACAGATAAATCTCCTCGGTCTATTTCTTGTTTCAATTCTTTCGCGAAGGCCCTGACCCAGTGCACAGGGATTCTCTTTTTCAGTAATACATTACGGTGTTTCGCATCGTCTACTGATCATGATAAAGGGAATTGAAATAAACGTAGATTTTGATAATCCAGGAAGAAAATCAATATTCCCCAAATCCGAAATGCACCTTAGATAGATTAGACCGGTGAACTGTTTACCACTGACCGTTAAGATTTACTAGGCATTTGCTAAACAGTCACGCGTCAGACATTGAATCCGCAAGTAGCGCGTTGAGCGACAGTCGTGGCAGGTGCGTTAGAATTGAAGCGTTTTCGACAATAAAGTGAAACTGGATATACTCTCACTGTTTAAGAGTGACAATGGGGTCCATGAAACACACTGCATCCAACTTCGGATCCGATTAGTCCGAGATGTCGTATCTGTCATAAACTAGCTTCAAGTGACTCATTTTTCAACGTTGTTGTTGAAAATAACTGTCTCATGGGGTAGCATTTGCCTCTTCCCACAATTAAATCATGTTTTGTTTTTCTTGACAGAAATGGGGAACCTGAGAAGCAGTCGAATCGCAGCTACAGTATGGGGAACATGCTGAACAAGTCCAGCGCGGATTCCGTCCTGGTAAGCGAATGAAATGCGATCCGATGAATCAGCGCATTGTGTTTGCATGTGTGTGTGTGTGTTTGGCTGACAGACTAACAAGTGAAACAGCGTAACATATGATTGGCTAGTTCATTCAGGCACTCACGTGACTGCAACACTTGATAAATCGGACCAGTAGCATTCACTCGTACCAACGTGTCTGTGTGGGAGCGCGAGAGACAAACATGTTAACATATCTTGTCGTCAGTCTTGCGATCTGATAGCCTTGACCTAACAAAATGAATTCGGTATACACCAGTTTCATATGGATGAAGTCGAATGGTGCGCAAAGGGCCTATCGTTCAGCGTGACTAAGTTATACGGGCTGTTCTACAGCTACTGATTACAGCAGAAACGAACAAGATTAGATCAATAAGCGAACAAGTAAAGGTGATTCGCAAAGGAACACGGAACAAAATGACGCGACGCATAGGGTTCTCTACGTGGGATCCAGAAGATGACATTCAACCGTTAATCTCTCATGTCATATATGACGAAGAACGGGATCAGGTGAGGCAATTGTTGTTGTTTGTGGTGGTGTTCTTGTTGTTGTTTATATCCAATAGATTTCACTGACTTCCCCATTTTGCACTATTCTCAATCTTACTTTCTCGTGCTCATACTACTCACAGGATTCAGATCAGAAATCAGCCAAACTTGAAACATTCCAAAACCAATCACTCAGCGATGCTCAAAGACAATCGTCTAAGACCGGAGATACCGGGTCGGTTCAGCAAACTGCCTCAGTCAACGCAAGCACACCTCGTCGCCGAGCCTCCTCGGACGCCACCAAGAACGGTGAAGAGATGCCTGTGTATATGCGTGTGTCCGATCCGGATTGTGATGCCGGTATTCGCCGGTTCGGTCATTTCCCAATCATGCGAGAAGATGAACTGCCTGGGGCCGATTTGGACAAAAACTCACTGGAAAGGAACAATGTGGTATATCTACTTACAGACAGTTTGGATGGGACCAATGATTCCGGGGTCGACAGTCCAGGGGATTCCAGTGACATGAAAGCTGAATCCGAGGGACCCAAACAGAACAGCATTGTCACCATGTGAGTCTTTTGTGAGAGTGAACCGGAAAAAAGGAGAGAGAGAGATAGACGGTTTGTTTTAAGTGATTCTGTACTCTTTACGTACCGATATGGTTTAGATTCTATTCATCTTTTGGTCTTAATAATGGTACTGAGTTTAATTTTATCGTTAGTACACCTCCCTTGTCCTTTTGGTTCCTCCAAGGCTTGTTTCCCAACTCCGGTGATTAGTGGGATGTCGATCTATAGAGATAACCGAACAGAGTTAAATCGAACTTGGACCGATTCAGGGATTCAGATTCCATTCAACCTCCTTGTACAATGATCCGCATTTAGCCATTCAGTGTCGCTTTGTCGGATGAAGTCTTGCTTGTGTGTGTGTGTGCTCTGAGCATCGGAATTCCTGATTGACTATCCCTTTTAAATACCTGGATTAGTTCAGTACTATTTATCGGGACCCCGGGAAAGCGTGCGAGACCGTCCCCGGGGGAGGGAGGGGCATTTAGAACTAACCAGTGATATACTCAATCTCTACCAAACTTCTTACAATTCTGTTCATACTTTTAGGTAATCATCAACCCTGAATTACTCCATGAAATTATTTTGGACATGCTATCAGAATTCGTATCTTATAGAGTACCGGAAGACTCATGCGTGCACAAGATGGTGTCTTCTAGGAAGACAATATTTGCAGTGGATGCCTAATCTGATCTGACACGTTGTCTGTTCTACAGACCGATTTGAATTGATCTGTTTCGAAATCAGGCCTATCCTATTCACAACTCGAAGACCCGAAAAGCTGGTTTCCATACGCGGAAAATGGGTCCTTGTGACTATTAGGTCTACCTCATCCACTGCTTCTCATGCTGCAATCATTATTTAGTTCCACGATTCAAACAGAACAGATAAGGTTCTCAGTGGATGTATCCATTTATCATACTTTTCCCCCCAAGATCTGGTCGAAGTATAGCACGATGGATTCCTTGCTATTTGTTCTTCGTCTACCTTGAACATGACATGCTGAATGAATATCATCAATATAATCGCATTGGTCTTTCTAGTTACGCACACGCATGCATGCTTGGTTATCAATGTGTGCATTCCGATCAAATTAAGGTTTGATCGATATTCCCCGTAACAGTAACGGTCCCCGATGGCTTTTGTTCTAAGCTCGTCAACGTTCATTGGACGCGCCCGAAATCCGTCGATCGATATACGAAAAATTCAAATATGTCATCTATAGTTGTTGAATATTCTGTTATGGTGTTGTAGGCGAGAGCACTGAACAAATTAGCGCAAACAGTTCCCAGAAAGGAAGAGTACTTTATGCTAGGATGTTTGCTCTGTCTTTTGTCATGATATATGCTCACAATTCTATTGTTGTTTTGCCGATTATTACATCCTGCCACTATCCTTTACTCCCGCCCCCACTCCCACGCCACCCCCTCCCCACACACATTTAGCTTTTCTATTTGGAACACAATGATGGGAACATCCATTCTGGCAATGCCGTGGGCTTTGAAAGAGGTGAGCTGCGTGTGTACGCTTTATTCCGCTTTATTGTGCTGTTGTTTTTTTGCATTTATGCAAACCCTAGCCTCATTGGGGATAGGGTCAGAACTCTGTTGTATTATATTATATTATATTGTATTGTATTATAGTGGAATGACTTTTGCAAGCAATGATGCCGACAGTTCGATCAAAAATGTGTCCACCATTACCTCATGGGATAAATAATAAAAGCAAATCATATACAACAGTGAAGCTGCAATAATTGTCCGCTCTATACAATTCCAACTAACAAGTGAACTCTTTGCAGTCAGTTGATTTTGTCATATGTGGTTGAGCAAAGTGACCCGAATGTTATGAATGTGCCTTGGCTGACAGTGGATAAAATGAGAGGCGTGATTAGTTTACATACTAAGCGTCTGAGAACCAAGGTTAGGGAGTCATGCCAATCAGACGACTACCGCTACTACTACTACTACTACTACTACTACAGTTATAATTCCAGAAGAGTGCTGGTCGAGGATAATCGCCTATTGAAGATAACAGCTGGGACATCATTAATTTGGCATACATAACACAGAAAATCTCATCAGAAACATACCATCGCAGTTCCTGGCCGCACGAAGGTAATGAACGTAGTAATCGATAGTCATTCTCTGAGATACAGCAATTTGTTCTCGGATGATCTTCTGAAGTTTTGATCATCGAAGGTAATCACCAACTATGTTACCCACTACTCACAAGTGAGTAGTATCTCACAACACTACTACTACTACCACCACCAATAATCAGGGTGAAGGTCATTTGTCAGAGGTTAAGTGTGAAGGGTCGAAATTGGTATTTATAATAACTGCCGAGTGAGGTGAAAGAAGGAAATCCAGATAGTCGGGGCCTATACTTCGATAGTTTTACGCTCCCCAGACGCAATAAAGTTCGAGTTCAAACCCGTACACTGTAGTTCCAGACAGCGAGAACCCCACTCCGTCAGAACAGATCCCACACAAATGTATCTTATGGCCTAAACACAACGGTCTTCTGAATCTGCAGCGAACCGTAAAGATTTTTTGGATGATACACTATCATCAAAATTAGCTTCTCTAGTGGGCGACGCATCGGTGTTACTTGTTTGCTCAGTACGCATCCTACCTGTAGAGATATCTGTCTCGGTTCGTTTGGGAACACCCGGAAACATGGATAGAGGTGGCCTCATCCGTAGCTTTTACTTGACCCACTTACTTGGTAGCAGTTACGGAACAGGTTTCCTCAAAATCCGTTCTCTAAGTGGTGTACCTATTAGCCTTCAACACGTCGAAATCGATTTCGCTTTGAACTGTGGTGATGACTGAGACCACTACTGTCTACCTGGTGAAATCAAACCGGAGGCAAAACAACACGGCCAAGGTCTGCAATGATTGTGCTGCGGTCTGAAATGAAATAACAGCTGGAGTTGAATGCTCTGTCTCTCCTCAAACATCTTCCTTTATCAACTTCTCACTATAAGCTTTCATCGGTGCCTCAAACTGAGTAAATACACCGGCTTGTCACGTAAATGATGATTTGTCAAAGCATGGAAAAGTTCGCGCAGCAAAACATTTTTCGCCCTTTTATCTATGCGCTCAGTGATTTTATGCGATACACAAGTGATCAACTTTAAGAAACGGGATTCTAGCAGCTAAAGGCTTACAGGAAATACAAAATGTGGTCAAGTCGGTCCCCGTTCTTTCCGATTTGAACGCCTAATCTTCGGACCAATGAAATCCTCCGCCGTATGATTGTAGCAGCAGCATCAGTGGTTAAGGTCTGCAAAAATGTTCCTCATGTTTAATTCGTGGAGGTCCTTTGGTTTCTCAGCTTTTTTGCACTAATAACGCTTTCCAATTCTGAACACCGGCACGCAACTGACTGAGTAATTCTGAATACGATATATGAATAAAAATGAATTGGCCATTCTGCTCAGTCCTGGTCTATGCTGGTTTGCACAGTGCTAATACACATGCCTTTCATGCGATGGGTCCGGAGTTCGAAACGCGTACGGAACGTTGGACATACACTTTTAATGAGTTCTAATTAGAGCGACAATCGAGTTCAATGCTTCCGAATGTATGGCTAACTGGATGAACTGAGGATTGTGTGTGAAGACGGAGTATGAAGGATCGTCAGTTCAAATCAATCTATCCCTTCCCTCCAACAGATAGGATTACTGAGATGAAATGTATAGAGGTAACAGATATGCGTAGGGGTGGGTGGGAAGTTGAGTGTCTGTGAAGGAGCTCTTGCATACCGGTTATTGGACGCTTTTAATTTTCGAATAGATTTTACATCTCCGGATCATTGTCACTCTTCCAATGCACTGTGCAGTAGCCGCGATGAGCGTCGTTCTTGAAAACAAGTGAAACTCATTCTTGTTGATTTTTTAAAAATGCCGCCGGACTATTGATTAATTGCTTTTCTTTCCTGATCTTTCTCACAATCCATCCATCTCATTGTCTTCCCTACTTCTCATTGGTCATTTCAGGCCGGATTCGGATTTGGCATCTTCTTGATTTTGTTTGTTGCAGGCATTGCCTGCTACACTGCGTACTTGACCATCAAAACGACCGACGATCTACGAAGTAAGTCACAATTGTGTGGCGTGCAGCCTTGATTCAGAATACAGCTCTAAAGCTTTATGATGGTACCGTTATAAAACTTTAGACTGTTGTTGGCTTCAAATGAGACTAAGTGAGCTGGAAGGCTTCCTAACGGTGGCCGCTATTTATTCTGTCTTTTTGGTTTCTCAGTTGAACGGGACTAAACTAAGACTCAGTGATGTCCACATCATATGTCACGTGCACGGCTCTTGATGACATACGTTTATTATACTACTGTCCTTCTGGTAGATCTTGTTCACAATCATAATCGATTCTTCTGGATCAGAAATCGACAGTGTTAATGGTTTCGTTGCTTGCTTGCTTACTTGCCTGCTTATGACTGTATCCACTAACAAAATGGTTCAAATGTACTTTTCTGCGGTACTTTCCCGACTGTTCCTCTCCGTGATGCTCATGTGTATTCAGTTTTTACGATTATAATGCTCAACTTACGATGTTTCTATTCATAGTCTAGGATTTTAGCTAAATGTTCACAATTACCTATACGATGATGCATCCATACAGCTCTTTCATCTAAGCAATGAATCCGACCTTGAGCCAAACTACTAATCTGATCCAGTACATACCACAGATCGAAATGGAAATTAAAAAACACCAGAAAATCACTAGCATTTAATTTATTCATTCTCCTTTATTATTCACGTGACTCGTCTGATCCTTTCTCTCCACTCGCCCTCCTCCCCCCAACCCTCGCTCCACCCACTACCCAACTGTAAACTGATGCAGTTATCAAGAAGATAAGCAAAAATACCTTCCTCGATCTGACAGACGCGTGCGAGTATCACTTGGGCAAAGCGGGTCGTATCATTTCTCTTGTATTCTCCCAGATCTCTTTGCTCGGGGCCATGATAGTCTACTATGTGTTGCTGAGCAACTTCCTTTACAATACTGGGGATTTTATCTATCGTAAGTACATCTGAGGTATTCGTTCTCAATTCCAGCCACCATTAAGTCCAGTGTATAATTCTCTGACTTAATCCTTGAATATGTGCAATCTATTATGCCCTGGTAACAACTCTACATACTCTCATCGTGTGGCACACATCCATCAACTCAGATCGTGTGTGTGTGTGTGTATGTGTATGTGTGGGACAGAAACGGGTCTGGTTTGTGATCACCTGATCTGGAGTAGTCATGTGGCGAATTCGAACACTACGAGAATTTCAATTTGAACTTTACAAAGTGCTTGAAACAGAAGTAGTGATTTACCGATTGCTACTGTAAGTATGGTTGTCATTATCTGCCTTCCTTCATCTATATGAGTAGTATGGTGTTGATTTGTTAGGTGCAATGTCAACTTGTCACTTACATATCACCGGAGAACTTCGTCATTTCACTGTTAGCAATATTTGTGCTTGTGACGGATCAAAACAACATACGTATGCGGTTTTCAGTCCCACGTGATGCTACCAGGCTACACGCATACTGGTCCCTCGAAATAGGCTTCATAACAATGCTATAGCGTACGCCTGTCCAACTACTATTAGAAGAATTCCACTGCTATCACTTAAAAAAGATGGATTTAGTGATTGGCTACATCAATAGAGTTCGTTCTATTGAACTACTCAGCATGTCGCTTGGTTTATTTCTTTTCCTTGGCATCTTGTCAGGATAGATTCAGGAAGTGTTTTTTCTAATAATTTACAGCACTATGTTGGTGAACGAATGGCCGAGCCTGACTGTTATCTGTCTAAATAGTTATTTGGCAGATTTGAAGTTTGTATGTCGATTGTGAAAAGTTCAGTAGCCTCGGTGGGATTCGAACCCACGCATGGACACCACCTACGCTTTGTACGCGCATGCTCTACCAGCTGAGCTACGAGGCCACACCGATAGCACTGATCTGTTTCACATTCGAATTTACTGTTATCAGTCTCGCAATGTTTGCGTAGAATACCATAAAATATGCCCAATGACTTAAACAAGGTGGCCTAATTAATCCATCCGATCTGGTGACTATGCCAGTGTGCGTTGTCATGTTCTGCAAGATTCATGCATCAATTAGCCACAGAGAGACAGAGACCCTGAGCTATTCGCTGTCTGTTTCCATCTGACATTGTTCATTACTAATTGTTTTTTCTTCCTACCCACTCTGTTCGTTTTAACGGGAATTCAGAACGTGCGAATGGTATCGATACATCGATAAATCCAAACGCCTCTAGCCAATATACCGATGGTGAGTTCACTTGTAGTTCTGTTTGCTCGGTTGATTCCTTACAGAACGAATCATCTTACCGCATTTCGAACACCATGATGTTTCTTCGCCCAGTGGTGGACAGATCATTCTAAAATGAACTAGCTAAATGATGCATGTACAGTTCAAGTCAAGTAATCTCACTTTTGCACCCACTCATTGAATATCTAGCAACCGCATAACTACTATAACTCCCGTTAGCATGTCAAATTCGACGACTCTCTGAATACAGAATAGCCGCTTTTTCGCCAAAAAGTGAAAATCTTTTGCATAATACGCTGCCAGACAACAAGTGATGCGTGTTAAGCGCTATGGTCGTCTGCCTTTTGGCCATTTGTCTACAGTGTGGACATACGTTGTAGTCTTTCGTTCGGGGTACGCAATCGCAGCCACGCGAAAAACGCGACCGCGTTATACACACTGGGGGCAGATAGCATCGATCTTCTCTTTGGGTTGTTACTTCCACCTCGGGCCAATCAAAAAGGAGCAAATGTGGCCTCCTCCAATCTGATTGGCTGTTCTTTTTACTGGGCTGAACGACTGGCCATGCGCATCGGAGGTCACAAACACACACGCACATCGATGTACACGTGCTCCCATTCCGGTACTCGTCCCCACACGTGCACATGGGCGTGGCGATATGTGCCTTGGGAAAGCGTGACGCGTTCGCATTGCCATTCACGCGTCTGTGTTCACGTGCCTTGTGGTGTGGGTGAGCCAAGCCACCTAAGCATTCAAAATAATCACAGTGGCGCGATATCCCTCCTGCCCGGGCAACCGGCTTTTAGTCAGAAATAGCATCTCACCTGATATTTTGGTAATGTACTAATCTTCGTTAGAAAACGTTCGTTGGTTGAACAAGCAATATGAGGTCAAGTTAAACCGACTCGTACAACATATTGTAAACGTATTACTGATTTGAGTCCCACTCCTGTCGAATGAAATAAATTACTCTCCGTGATAAACTTTCGGACATGCACAACGAAGAAAATGGATGTAAAGTGACCACTATTAACCGAGTGTAAGGTTCTATCTCTATGATAGTTTTTGCATCCAGAGCGCCCTTTGCTTTATTGTGAAATACAAACTGAATTTTCCGTCATCTCCACTTCGCGGTTGTAGTAGGTGCATCCGCATACAGCGGCAACTACTTGTAAACCAATCCTGGACAAGCTAGCTATCCAGGTTCGTTGACAAATCAAAGTAAGCTTCATGGACCCAAGGAGTGGACCATTACTAGTTCATAAAATGTTTTGATGGACAGCATTTCAAAATACAGATTTTCCCCCAAAGCTATGGACATGAAATGAAGTCGTTATAAACAAGGAGTTAATGCGGCGCAAAAATCTTATCACTGGTTCTGACAAAAGCTCAAATCAGGTCAACCACAAAGCGAACATGATACTGAACTAGACCACTGCTCTTGTGAGTGGTGGTACGGACAGTCAAATATTGGACTTTGGATCGAGCACAATGCTTCAGCTCCCACAAGTTCGTAATTCAAACGATGGTTTTCATCGGACAACTTTATATACGCAAACTTAACGGAGAAAACTCAAATGTGACAAGCAATCAAAGGCGGCCAAGACAGTCTTAGTTAGACTATCTATGATCTATAAAATAGCTAGGAGAATGGCCTAAACTTCTTCCCTTGTAGTCTGGGGGAAAATAGGGGAGAGCGAATGAACAGTGAATGTGACAGAACATTGTTTGGTTGTTCAAGATCCATCGATCGATTGTTCTATCCAAAACTAAATGAATACACTTGATGTTGTTAAGATCGAAGTTCGAAATGATATAACTAGTATCAGTAGTATATATTTGTCTTGGTACTTTTCTGTTTTTGCTGTTCTCGTTCATCTTGGATAAATGATCCTTCTCACCTTCATTATTAATAACTAGATGATTGTACTAAGGAAGTTCTGTGATTAGTTTCTTACACCCGTGGAAATTGGCTACTAATCGAATGAATTGTATATATATATATATATAT